CCAACTCTTCTGTTCCATTGTGTATCTGCTTCTGAAGATTCCCTCACATCTGTGCTTTCACAGAGCCTGGCAGGGCAAGTCTCTTCTCCTTGTTCTTCAAAGTCGGCTTAGCTATCCTTTGGCCTCTTCTCCACCAAGTGGCTTTGAGAATCAGCTGGGGAAGTTTACGGAATTCCTCACGAGGTGGGTTTTCCACTCAGTGCACAGATTAATTTGAACTATGCTCTTTTATTTATTTATTTATTTATTTGACAGACAGAGTGGATAGTGAGAGAGAGAGAGAGAGAGAGAAAGAAAGAAAGGTCTTCCTTTGCCGTTTGTTCACCCTCCAATGGCCGCCGCGGCTGGCCCTGCGGCCGGCGCACCGCGCTGATCCAATGGCAGGAGCCAGGTACTTATCCTGGTCGCCCATGGGGTGCAGGGCCCAAGCACTTGGGCCATCCTCCACTGCACTCCCTGGCCACAGCAGAGAGCTGGCCTGGAAGAGGGGCAACCAGGACAGAATCTGGCCAAGGCTAATGCGAGGCTTTGGGCCAGCGCTAGGGTTAGGGTCAGGATATGATCACAGACCCCCAGCTTCCTTCCCAAAGGGATCCCAGGGCAGACCCAAGAGCATCTGCGAGCCCTGGCCGGGTGTGGGGCGAGCCCAGCCGGCAGGAACTGGAGGCAGATCGTCCAACCTGATGGCCGCAGCTAGGGAACCCACACCTCCTCCTCCCACCAGCGGCAGGTATCACTAGTCTGCCTGGGCTCTCCAACTCCAACCCTGGGCTCATAGCTTCCTTAGGCAGCAGCGCCCACATCAGCAGAGCCCACTGTGCTGCCCCAGCCTAATCCCTGTAAGCCCGCAGGCGTTCGCTAGGCCTGACACCAACCCAACCTGGGCGGCTCCCAGAAGCTTCGCAGGTCTGTGCCCAGCTCTGGGCCCGCCCCATGCCACAGACAGAAGTGCAGGTGCATTCCCCATGTGACTGCCTCCCACCTTACAGGTGGCTTCTCGGGGTGACCAGGACATTGTAGGCAAACTAATTAGCTGACTCGACTGGAGGGAGGAATAACTTTGCTGTGGGATCTGACTTCTCATCCCAGCACCTAGGCCATTCTGTGCCTTTAAATGTGTGGGTGTCCTTAAATCCCAGTCCCTGAACACTTGGCAAGGGAAGCTGGTTTATCTCCATGCACCTCCTATGGAAACAAAGAGTTGCCAGATCTGATGACGCAGAGAACAGCAGAGGCTTGTGTAAGGATCTCTGCCTGGCTCTTCCCTTCTGTGCCTTCTATGCCTGGCACACAGTAGGTGCTTCCCACACCCTGCCGCAGATAAGGGTCCACTGACACTCACGGAGTATCTATCCTGTGTGGGCCCCATCACCGTGGCCGCTAACATCATATGCATTTTGCAGGTGAGATAGGCTCAGGGAGCTAACAGGGCTGAGACCTATCAGCCCAAGGCCTAGAGGCCGAGTCTGGCGCCTTGTGCCCATGGTTGCCTGTTATGCAAGGGAGGAGAGAATGGAGGGAGAGGGGAGAAGAGGAGGAGGGGCTGGGATGAACAATGGAAGGAAGAGGGGGGAAGGAGGAAGTTGAGAGAGAGCCAAGGGGAAGCTGAGTATTAGAGGCTCCAGGCCTGCTCTCTTCTCCCTCCTCTTCCCTTTGCCAGGGTCTACACCCTCAGATCCCTGGGGCACCTGATCCAGAGTGATCTTATTTGTCCCTCAGAGGAAGGAGAGGAAGAAGAGGGTGAGCAGGAGGAAAAGAAGAGGAGGAAGAGGAGAAGGGGGAGCTGACTGAAGATCTTCACAGTTTGGTTCTTGGAGGCCTGATGGGAATGGGGGGATCCTGAGACCAGTGTCCCCAGTAGTCCCGCCCTTTGAGATGGGGACGGAAAAGCCACAGCGACTGTGTGACCTCCAGGGCCTGAGGGGTCAGCTAAAGATTAGAGGCAGCACCGCAGATGACCTGGGAAGTCTAATTGGGTTAAGTAGAAGCAAAACTAGGGGCTGGCACTGTGGTATAGCGGGTAAAGCATCCCATATGGGCGCCAATTCAAGTCCCAGCTGCTCCACTTCTGATCCAGCTCTCTGCTATGGCCTGGGAAAGCAGCAGAAGATGGCTCAAGTTCTTGGGCCCCTGCACCAGCATGGGAAACCCAGAAGAAGCTCCTGGCTCCTGGCTTCAGACCGGTGCAACTCTGGCCATTACAGCCATCTGGGGAGCAAACCAGCGGATGGAAGACCTCTCTCTCTCTCTCTCTCTGCCTCTACCTCTCTGTACCCTGCCTTTCAAGTAAATAATAAATAAAAGGAAGTAAAACTAAAACTCTCCCAGAATATGGACACTGCTTTTCTCCAGGGTGGCACTGTGGAAGTCGTGGCCTCTGTTGGCACGATCCCATGGAGGCCTATGTGGCACTGGACGCGGCTCTCTTTGGCATGAGCTGCAGGACAGTGTTCCAAGGCCGCTCCTGACAGCCGCTGAAGGAGTTCCTTGAGACCAGCACTCTCCCCATGCACTCTGCGGCATGGACTTAATTAAAAACCAGTCTACTTTGCCCCTCGACAGGAAACAGGGCAAACAGGATGTTGGTGCCGAAGCATGCCAAAATCCAAGTCAGTACAGGAGGCATCCGCCAGCTTCCTGGCTCAGCTGCAAGGCCTGCTGGGACAGGAGACCAATTGTAGGCCTGGCAGGGGCTCTGGGGCAGGTGGGCGGGCTCTGACAGGAAGAGTCTGGCATTTGCCAAGAACACTCATCTGCAGGTGGACAGCAGCATCTTGCTTCTGGGGGGAACAGGAAGTGGTTTTGCCTATAAAGGGCAAAGACGGGATGTGGCAAGACCTTAGAATCGCAGCCAGCTGGGGTCAGGGGACTCCCGCTCACTGGGAAACCTGGGAGAATGGAAGCCCAGCTTGAGTGAGGGAAAGCTGGAGCTGAGAACAGAGGGGAGGCCCAGGGAGGGGGCATGCACACAGATCTTCCTCCTCTCTGCTGTTGGCCCTCTGGGGCTCCCACTGTGGGTCAGGGCTGGCTTCCACTGGCTCATGGGCCTGGGTGAGGCCTAGCAAAACAATGGAAGATTCACAGTCCTTCTAGATGGGCCTGGCTGGGAATCAGGGACTCATACCTTCGTTCTCATTATATCAGGACTAAGGTAGGAATCTGAAGTCTGACATCTCTCTCCTTGGCGCCTGGTATTGGCAAAGCCCTCAGCTGGCATTGACTGTGTCAGCCCACTCTGGAAATGAGACAATTGCTTTCCTCATGCCCATACTAAGGCGCCCTTAGAAAGATGGAAAAGGGGAAAGCGAGGCAGAGAGCTGAAGGGTCCAAGTTACTCCAAGCAGGTGACCCACCTCCTCCTCTGCTGGCCCTCGGCAGGCAGGGATCCCATTCAGTCCTCGCACGCTTCCCAGCTGAACACAGAGCGGCTGACGGGGCTCAGCCGCGCCTGCAGGCCTTCCTCACCAGAGGCTCAGTGTTTGCCATTTCCTTTGTGGTTAAGTGAGGAGCCGGAGAGAGTGGACAGGAGGGACCCTGCAAAATAAAAACACCTGCCTGAACGATATGGTACGACCCTGGCAGGTTTTACTTCCCAGAAATGATCCCAACGGAAACGCTCCGCTGTGTTCCCTTTGGAAACACAACCTTGCCCTTTCCCTATCATGAGATGGCATCTGTCTTCGTTCTCCCAGGCTAGGATGCTGTGACTGCTTTGATCAGTAGAATATGCAGGAAATCATGCTGTGCCAGTGCTGCCACTGACCTGAACTGTCCTGGCAGCCGCTTCTTCCTGTGCTTTGGAACCCAGCCGCCATCTTGTGAGAAGCCCATGACGCATGGAGAGATCATGCATGGTCAACAGCCTGGCTCCACCGGCCCTGGGTTCCGCCACATCAAGAGAGTGGCAGCTATCGCAGGAAGCCATCTCCAACACCCAGTCCCGTCAAGCTGTCAAATGACAACTGCTCCGGCTGCCAGCTGCCAGTGTGACAGGCTCCCAGTAGGAACTGCCCAGGTGAGGCCATGCAACGCAGTGCCCACAGCAGATCATGATAAATAAGCATTCAACATATCACTTGAGGGGCTGGGGCTGTGGCACAGCAGGTTAAGCCGCTGCCTGTGTTGCCAATATACCATATAGGCAGTGGTTTGAGCCCCAGCTGCTCCACTTCTCATCCAGCTTCCTGCTAATGCACCTGGGAAAGCAGCAGACGATAGCCCAAGGGCTTGGGCCCCCCGCCACCCATGTGAGAGACCCAGATGGAGTTCCTAGCTCCTGGCCCAGCCCCAGCCATTGCAGCCACTTGGAGAGTGAGCCAGCAGATGGAATTCTCTCTTTCTCTGTCTCATCCTCTCTGTGTAATTCTGCCTTTCAAATAAATAAATAATTAAACCTTTTATTTAAAAAAAAAGCGATATTGCTATGTTTGGGGGTGACAGACTGTCTCAAAATGTATGCTTAAGACAACCACCACTCTGTTTGTTATGAGTCTGGTTGCTGATGTGTCTTCCAACAGCTGGGAAGTTGGCTTTGCGATGGTTGGTCTGGCGTGGCCCCTGCTGGGACAGCCCAGCTCTGCTCTGTTTGATCTTTCATTCCCCAGCAGGCTATCCCTGGATTACTCTCAGGGAGTAACTGGGATTTAAGAGGGAAGGTAGAAGGCTCAAGACCTAAGCTTGGAGCTGGCACGCGGTCACTTTCAGTAAACAGTGTTCAAAGCCAGCCTCACAGCCAGCCCACGTTCACAGTGTGGAGAAGCTGATTCTATCTCTTGCTGGGAGGAGTTTCAGAGTCACATGGCAGACAGCGTGGATCCTGGAAGGGCTGCAGAACTGTGGCTGGTTTTGCAATCATTTGCTCATCATAGCTGATGAGGGGTTGAAGTTTGCAGGGGTGTGGGATATAAATCATCGCTCTGTTTTGACTGAAAGCTGTAGCCTAGTCCCCAGTGATCAGGACTTGCCAGCCTCTTCATGGAGGAAGGTAAGGGAGGAAAGGAGCCCAGGGGAGTGGTGTTTGGGTAGCTGTCAGGTGCTCTGGGAGGCCCAGGGGTCCCCTGCTGCTTTCTTCAGGAAATGGGTGTGTATGAGTTGAGGAACTCTGGGTGGCTCTGTTCTCTCCTGTGATTTCCTTTGAGAAACGTTACGCATTTGATAAAAATGAGAAGGTCTGAAGTCTCCTGAACTAGACCAACCTCTCAGTCTCCTAGCAAAGGAACCTGCCCTAGGGAAGCGGAGAGTCTACCCCTAGTTTCTCAGCAAGTGCACGTCTTGGCGGGAGCCAGCACCCCAGCCTGCTGACCCACCGCTCCACCCGAGGCCACTTCTCCTCCCCTACTTTCCTGTGTCCCCCCTGGGCTCAAGACAGTCGAGCAGGGTGGGTGGGGGGAAACCGAGGCAACCAGCAGGCATGCTCCAGACATCACTGCTTGAATGCTCCACGTCCCCAACAAGCAAAGTCATCCACAGTCCTTGAACTCTGAGCCTCCGTGACCCCCTCCCTCATGTACACATGCTCCCATGCGATGCCCCAAGGCTCAGTGTGCCCAGAACCACAGGCAGCTCCAGGCATCATCATGGTGGGCAGGCTGGGCTGGCTGGTCACATCCGGGGCAGAGCCGGGGAGAACTTGGTGGTGCTGGTCCCGGAGGGCAGAGGGAGCTCCATCTGGGAGGAAAGTTCATTTCCCAGGAGAGAGCCTGTTCTTGCTTGGAGCCTGTGATCTCCCAGTGTGTTAATTCCATTTCTTCTCAAGTTGGTTTTTTTAGGACATGGGCTATTTATAGCTCCCCCTAAACCCTTTTCAGTCTGTTTCCTGTTCAAGTACTGCATTAGTCACCAGAAAATGTCTCAAACAATCTCTGCATCTCTGCCTGAATCCAGCCACATGGGGACTTAGGGGTACTGGTGGGACTCAGGGCCGACCCCAGTCGGGAGGTGGGAGGCAGGGGGCTGGCTGAGGAGGTGAGGGGGGGGCATCTCTGGTCCCCCTTCCTGCGTGGCGTGAAGCGCTGAATGCTTGTGGCTTCCTAGACTTGACTTAGCTCTTGGAGATGCAGAAACTGCCGTGGCACCTCCACTGGCTGCATATTTTTGCCATTACTTGATGACCTATTTGCATGTAGCTCCTTGCAGAGAATTTCCTCCCAGGCCATATACGGTGATTTCATTGCACCACAAACTGACGCTTCTATTTGCAGCAGCGATCGAGGCTCCTTCCCGACTTCCTCCTGCCCTTCCTTCCCCACATCCCTCCCTTTCACTGTAGACAGCCGAGGCGGCTTCGAGCTCCCATCAAGGTCAGTTTTCTCTGAGCGTGGCTGCTCCCCAGGAACGCACCAGGCTCCAACTGAGGGGGGAGGGTCCTGGAGATCTGAGCTGAGCTTTTGCCGCCACAGGACCAGGGAGCAGGGACCACGGAGATCCAGGGGAGACAGAAGGGATTTCACGCCAGGGACTTGAGCAGCCAAGCCGTCTGTGCCTTTCCCCTTCCTGTGCCTTCATTCATGCTGTTTTCTTGCCCAGAAGGCACGCCCTGGACCATGGCGAATGCATCAAGGGATCCATCACTGGAAATGTGCAACAGCCACCAGCAGCGCCCTGGCCGACCCCATGAGTGCTTTGTGCTATCCCTACATCCCCGGGGAAGAGGGGTTGACTTGGGGGTTTCTGACCCTGAGCTCTCTGCTCTTGAACTTTCTGGGGACAAAGGTGATTTGAAGTCTGAGGCTCTATTTGTACAGCAAGTTGTCACGTGGCCTACGTGCCAGAGACTAAGACCTTCCCAAGCTGCAAACCAGGGGGCTCACATGCCTGGAACAAAACTCCTGAGGGTTTTGGAGTTACTGGTTCCAGGATCTCAAGGCTGCCCCATTTGGAGCAACACGGGAGCACCTTGCACCCGCTGTTCACGGAGCACCTGCCTCGGGCCAGGCTGCCTGCTGGGTGCTGCAGGAACAAACGTATTCAGAAAACGATCTTGGCCAGAAGGTGCCGGAGCTAAATGCAACCCTCCTGTCTCCCTGGTAGAGCTGGCGAGCACACCAGCGCCCAGAGCCGAGGAAGTGGAAGAACTGGGGCGTGAGATGTGACTGCCAGGCGCTGGCCCAGCGTCCCAGGGCTGCTCCTGAGCTGTGATGCACAGTGACAATCTGGCATGACTATTTTTATTTCCTTTTGGTTTCCATTGTAGGTAATTTATTACAGACTGTCTCCCCACAGAGTATCCTCAATTACATCCTTGGGAAGGGCAAGAGCCCAGAGAACACCATGAGGCACGGCTGAGTCAGGCTTAGTCAAGGGCGAGCTTGCTTCTGCCAGTGGAGGCCTTAGCACTGGGTCCTGGGGGACCCAAGGTCTAGGAGCAGGGTGGGACCTGAGGACCAAGCAGGGGCTTCCCCTTACCTGGGACCCTGATGGGGGATTCTGAAGCAGGGAGCACCTAAGGGTGCCATCTGCATCCAAGGTCCTTTTGAAATGAGGCCTCTTCCACTTCCACTTTTTAAGTTGTGAGCATTAACACGCATACCGAAAAGTACATAGAACATTATGCATAAGAAACAACAAAGCAAACACCCCCAGATCCGCGGTTCATGTCGGGAAGTGAGCCGCGCCAGCAGCCCAAGCCCCTCGCACATCCCTCTCTGGCCATACTCGAGTCTCCCACCACGGCATTTGATGGCATCTGTTTCCTTCTCCTTTAATTTTACCACCTGAGTTTGCATTCCTAAGGAAAACTATTTGATTTTACCTGTTTTGAGCTTTCTGTGAATAGAATCATGATGTAGGGCTTCCCTGTGTCTTGTTTCTTCTTGCTCAGTTATGTGGTTGAAACTCATCCAAGTCATTGTGTGTCACTGTCGTGCATTCATTTTCATGGCTGCATAGTATTCCACTGGGTGGGTACACCACATTTATTTATCTGTACTCCTATTCATGAATTATTAATGCATTGTTCCCAGGTTCTGAGTGTTATGAGCAACGTTGCAATGAGTGTTCTTAGATGCATATCCTAGTGCCACTGTGCACATATTTCTCCAGTGTTTATAACTAAGAATGGAATTACTGGGCCACGGGTGTGTCTGTCTTCACCTCTAGTAGAAAATAACGGAAGGTTTTCTAAGGTTGCACCACCTTTCATGCTGTCTGTCGGACAGCGGTGGTGGCTATGCTGGCGGGGGGCAACCACAGGTTCTAGGTTGCGGGGAGCAGGAAGAGCTTCTGGGGAGAAGTCAGCAGGTGTGTGCTTCCCTGTCCCCTGTCTCACGCGCAGGGTCCACCAGCCCTGCGTGCTGTTCTAGCCTCCGTCATTGCCAGTCCTGTGGTAGAAGCCGGGACTGCCCTACTTTGGGCTCAGTTCACTGTGGTCCAGGCTCTCTGGTCACAGATGAGGTAGACGGTGGCTATCTGAAGGTTAATCCAAGGGTGGGGAGACCCCAGCCCTCAGAAAGTCAGAGGCGATTACTCAGGGTGGGGGCTGGAGCCACGGCTGGGAGCTGAGGCAGCTTGGGAAAGCAGGGCGAGTGCTCTGAGGACTCTAAGTAGGTCCAGAGCCTGGAACAGCCTCCAAACTGCCTTTATTTATTTATTTGACAGACAGAGTGGACAGTGAGAGAGAGAGACAGAGAGAAAGGTCTTCCTTTTGCCGTTGGTTCACCCTCCAATGGCCACTGCGGCTGGTGCGCTGCGGCCGACGCACCACGCTGATCTGAAGCCAGGAGCCAGGTGCTTCTCCTGGTCTCCCATGGGGTACAGGGCCCAAGCACTTGGGCCATCCTCCACTGCACTCCCTGGCCACAGCAGAGAGCTGGCCTGGAAGAGGGGCAACCGAGACAGAATCCGGCGCTCCAACCGGGACTAGAACCCGGTGTGCCAGCGCTGCAAGGCAGAGGATTAGTCTATTGAGCCACGGCGCCAGCTCCAAACTGCCTTTAGCATAGCGTACCACTATGAATGTTATGACCAAAAGCCAGCTTGAGTAGTCTCAAACAACACCAGAAAGGAGAATGTGTCTGCCTTCAGGAGAAGCGTGGTCCAGAGCTCAAGCAGCATACCAGGCTCAGGGTCACGGGCTACCTCGTCACGGCTTAGGAGAGTCAACAGATCCCAAGAAGGGACGCGACGAAACCACACAGAAGCGATAAGCTTCTAGAACAGGAGCAGAAACTAGCAGTGCAGGCTGGGGCAGGGTCTGTCGCTGGGGACAACTCAGGAAGCGATCCCCACATCGGGAGACGAAGGCCCCCAAATGTCCCTAGTGCCCAGGGAACCACTCGGTCAGCTTGGGGATCTGCAGACGCTTACCACCCTAGAAAGGCGTGTTCACAGCCTCAGATTCCTAAGAGCATTACTCTGTTATTGTCTGGACATCTGGGAGGGGCGTCCCAGAGAAGAAAGGGAACAGTGAGTGTCCTCACCAGACATACATGCGGTGAGTGTATTTTCTACACCAGAAGTTGGGGGTTGAGGGCTGTTTTAATGTGCATCGCCACTTGCAGGTGGATGAGGAACTCTGGATTCCAGCACGCTCAGAATTTCTGGGCCAGTTCTCTGGTCTGAGAGACCCAAGAGACAGAATATTCAAACCCAGGCCTATCTTGGAGAATCCCAGAGGCATAACAGCTGCATTGGTTTGCAATAGCATTTAATAAGTTTAGAATTTTAAAAAAGATTTTATTTATTTATTTGAAAGGTAGAGTTAGAGAGAAAGGGAGAGAGAGAGAGGCAAACAGAGACAGAGAGAGACAGAGGTATTCCACCTGCTGGTTCACCCCCAGGTGGCCACAACAGCCAAAGCTGGGCTGGTCCAAAGCCAGGAGCCAGGAGCTTCTTCCAGGCCTCCTGTGTGAGTGCAGGGGCCCAAGGACTTGGCCATCTTCTACTGCTTTTCCAGGCACATTAGTAGGGAGCTGGATCGGAAGAGGAGCAGCGGGACTGGAACCAGCACCCATAGGGGATGCTAGCGCTGCAGGCAGAGGCTTTACTTACTACACCACAGAGCTGGCCCCGGAGATTTTTAATACGAAGGAGAAAAGTGACTCAAAGTGGCTTCCTTGATATATTTCAAAAATAACAATACCAAAAGGTATAAAAGAATCAAGCCACCTCCTCCTCCTCTGGCCCCGTTCCCACAGGGATCCACTAGTCAGAGTTTCTTACACAGATTCCAGAAAATGATTTCTTTAGTAGCCAGGCCCAGAGCAAAGGAGGGTTAGGGAATTGCTCTATCAGCTGCTCATCTGGTTGAGAAGGGACCCAAGGAATGAATGAATGAATGAATGAATGAAAGCATCACACAGCCCTCTGGTCCCCTCCCTAGCAGGCCTCCTGCCCCGGTTCCCTGTGCTGTTTCATCAATGGCCGAGACAGCCCCACCCCCACCCTCCACTGCTCCCGCTCCCTCTCCCGCACCACCTCCTGCAGCAGCTCCGAACAGGGGAATATTTCCTGAATGAGAATGCCCTGAAGGGAAGGATTTTCCCTCTGATTGCATGTCTGCAGCTTTGGAACACCTACTCTTTTTTCCAGCAATGATTCATGCAGGAATCATCAGAGCCAGCCCCACGGGGACAGTGCCAGTGTTCCTTCCCCAGCGTTTGATCAGGGTTATACAACCGTGTGCCAGTCGTGCTTAGAAGCTTGGCTTCCCCTGTGCCCCTCGTCCCCAGAACTCAGTGACAAAGTGGGCAGAGTGCCTGGGGTGCACATTGGTGTGAAATCCTTTTCCTCAAGGCCTATGCCTTTACTTTGCATGACATCAGAATAGGAAGAAGTAGGCAAAGCAGCCCCAAATCCTCACTTATTCATCCGTCACATATTTATTGAGAACTCAGCAGTTCCCAGGCACTCTGCCAGACGGTTAGCACCACGGCCTGAGGCCTTAAAAGATGGACAGCCGAGGTTTCCCGAGGCTGAGAAAGAGAGAGGTCGCACAGACGTCTAGAACGGCATGCTCCGAGGGGCCAGTGACCGAGAGTAAGAGTACGCCACGTGCTATAAATAGAGTCTAGAGGAAGTGCGGGCCAGAGCGGTAGATGGGGCTGGATGATGAAGGACCTTCAATGTCAAGAACATCAATTTGGACTTTATTTTACAGGCGGGTAGGGTTCTGAGCAGGAGAGCTGAGTTGTGCGAGGACTCGGGGACCCGGCAGGAAGAGACAGTAGGCTCAGATGAAGGCAGTATGAGAAGTGCTTGCAAAGAGCCTCTCCCCTAGGTTTGGGTAGTGGGTATGGAGACCACTCGGCCTGCCGTCACAGGTGGAGCGAGTAACATCTGGGCTCTTGGGCGGGAAGGAGAGTCCCCGCGAACAGAGCTGCGGCCATTGGTAGAGGTGGCTCCCCAGTGAAGGAGCCAGGGCACAATCACCCAAACCCCTCCCCCTGCCCTCTGACCTCCTGCAGGTGCTCCCCATTGGCCAAACCTAACCAGAAGCCAGAGGCCAAGGGAGGCCATGGGCACGGTCCCTGTGGGTCACCAAGATAAAGAAGGGTGGAGAGTGGGTTTGCAGGGGCAAAGGGCAGGTGTGCGGCACTCAGCAGTGTGCACAGATGAGCTGCTTGGCAAGACGGTCAGGGTAAGGGTGGGGCGAGAAGAGACTACAAGACCCTGAGCGAGGCAGCAGTCACGGAGCCCGGGAGAGAGGAAGTAGAAGAGTCGGGACCCGTGGGCAGGGCTGAAGGACACGGAGGGTGGACAGTGACAAGTCTAAGAGAAAGCCATGTTCCTGCACAATCTGGCTTTCCTGCAGCCAGCAAAGGTGGCCCTGGGCAGGACAGACAGCCCCTGTGGCCCCCCTCCGGGAAGACTACAGAGGGTCCTGAAACACACCCACCCCTCCCAACTCCATCCATGTCCGTGCCATCTCCTCCACCACTGCACAGCCCAAATGTCCACTTGAGTGAGGGCCGGCCCTCCTCACAGTGCGTGGGCTGAAACCTGATGTCCCTGTCTTTGCTTCTCTCCCGGTCACCAGTCGGAAACCAGTCCTTGAAATCAAAAAGAAAAAAAAAATGGCATTAGCAAGCAACTGACTCTCTGTGGCGATAACTACGTGTTTTCAAAGAATCTACAGGCATGGATCTCTAACGAAGAAACTAAGAAGGGTGGGGGGGGTACTTAACCCTGGGCTTCCCCCGCGGCCCCCTCCTCAGAAGAAGAATACAGGTAAGCAGTTCAGGTGTGGCCCACTGCACACCTGGCACTGGGTGCCAACTCAGGACTTGCAATGGTGGGTGCAGATTTCACAGGGGGCTTCTAAGAAGCGTACAGCTCCTGGCCAGGAAGGGGCTGCTTGAACAGCTTCTCAAACAGCAGGCAGCTTCAGGAGGCTCAAACAACCCGTGCTCTCTCCCTCCCCAGGGGAATCCAACCCCCAATGGGGGGAGTGGAGGAGCTATCTTGAAGGGGAGAGAGCTCTGGAAGTCCTCCACAGCAGACAGGAAACGGAAGGCAGAAGAAGGGAGGTGGGTTGCTAGGCAGCCGGCTGTGGTCCCAGGGTTGCCCTGGTGACAATGGTTGGTGTGTACAAGGCAGGTGCTCGGAGGTTACTCGCTGACTGTGTATACAAGCAGGCTGGACTTTTTCACCGAGCTGCATTCCTTGAAACCGTGTCATACCGCGGATTGTCAAAGTCTCCCAGAGGAATAGCACTTTTCCTCCTTGAGGGCCTGTGTTCCTGATCAAAAATGCAACCGGAGAGAAACACAGCTGATCCACAGACAACCTGTGACATGCAGAGGCACAAGTGCTCCGGTAGCCTCAACAAGCCCCAGGGCAAAAATGACACACCC